TTAACTCTGATTTTTTTCTTCACAGATGCTGCCAGGCCTGCTGAGCTTTTCCAGCAAATTATGTTTTTATTCCTGATTTACAGCATCCGCAGTTCTTTCGGCTTTTATTTAGAAAAATGCCTCTATGCAAATAAGGGCCAATGTCCATCTAGAATGATTCTCTAATGTTGTCAGGGAGGAGTTACACTCACATAGAAGAGACGTGGGAACCACGACATAGCACCAGAAAGAACAAATAAAGTGCAACAAGAATTCAGAGTGACAGGCAACACTAGAGTATGAAATATTATAGTGTTAGGTGGGGTCAAAATTCTGTCTTTCATTATAGATACAAAAATATTCCAGTAATAGCTTTATATCAGGAGTGGAAGGGAGAGAGGAGTTTAGCAAATTAATCATCAGGGAAGCGGTACTAAGTACACAGAGGGAGCAGAGTGCTGGTAAGTCTCTGGGTTCAGAAGGAATTCACCATGGAGTCTGAAACAAAGATCGCTAATGAGGTAGTAGATGCATTGGTACTAAGTTTCTAAAATTTCTTAGATTCAGAAAAGGTTCCACCAGATTGCAAAGAGGCAAAATAACCAATTTTAAAACAGCAGGAAGCAGGAAACCATTTAGCTTGACGTCTGTAATGGGGAAGGTGGTCGATTCAACCAGCAAAGAGGTTACAACTATGCACTTGGAAAAGTTCAAGATAATCAGAAGAAGTCAACATGGTTTCATCAGAAGGGAATCATCTTTCACCAAGTTACTGGCATCCTTTGAAGAGGTAATATGTGCTGTGGATAAAAGTCATCCTGTAAACGTACTGTATTCCAAAAGCTATTTAATGAGGTGCCACATCAATGGTCACCACAGGAAAAAAGCTCATAGTGTAGGGAGTCACAGAACATTATGGACAGAGGCTTGGCTGACTGGCAGAAAACAGAGAGAATGAACAAATATAGCTTTGTCCGAGTGGCAAGATGTGACAAGTGGAATCCCAAGGGTGTCAGTGCTGAGCTCTCAACTTTTTACAATTTAAATTACTGACTTAGATTAGGGAGTGGAGGCATATAAATACTGCAGTTACAAGCGCAGGTCAGAGGCTGGGACTCCTGCACCTCACCTCCTGACTCCTCAACCATCTACAAAACACAAGGCAGGAGTGTGTAATGGACTGCAGCAATTCAAGAAAGTGGCTCACCAGCATCTTCTCAAGTGTAAGTGATTTGTGTAATAAATGCTGGCCCGACCAGCAAGGCCCACATCCCATAAATGAACTTTTTTTTGAAAAAAACAATAAAATTAAGGATGTTACACTACAGTTATACAGGGCATTGGTAGGCCTACATCTCACATATTGTGTGCAGTTTTAGTATCTTTCTTTAAGGAACTATGCAAATGCATTGTAGGTGTTTCAGTGGAGGTTTGCTGTATAGGTACCTGGAACGGGTGAGCTGTCTTATTAGCGAAGATTTAGCAGGCTTAGCTGTTTCTGCAGTCTTGATTGAAATGTATACATTTTTGAATAGTCTTGACAAGGTGGACGTAGAAAGGACGTTTTCTCTTCCTCAATCTAGAACTGGGGCACTCTTTGAAAATTAGGGCATGCCCTTTCAGGTCAGAGATGAGGAGAATTTTTTGCTCTCAGAGGGTTATGTGACTTTTGGAACATTAAATACTTTTCAGGCAGAGGCAGATAGATTCTTGTTAGACAAAGGAAATCAAAGATTATCAAGGGAAGATGAGAATGTGGAATTTGAAACACAAATAAATTTGCCATGATCTTGTTGTATGGCAGACCAGGTCCAAGGGCCCATTCATCTACTTCTGCAATTATTTTGTACGTGCACAACAAGAAATGCAATAAAATCTAAATCAGGATTATGCTGCCTAAAATGAAAAGTAAAAATTGTCACAAAACAGGTTGGAGACCTACAGGCACAGATAACCACATGAGAGTATGAAGTTATGGTAAATAATAGAGACCTTGCCCAAGAAAAAGACAAAAAGGCTACTAAATATTCCTGGGTAGGAGGGCCTGTACTTTTTATTTTCAAGGCAGTAATTGAGAGTCAGGAATCAGGTCGTTTCCCGTCATTCTGATCCTGTTCCCTACCCTGCACTGCCTGCCTATGGCATTTTCATGACGGAGTGGCAGGGACAGACTGGAATCAAGGTCACTATCTCTGAAAGCAGATATGTAGCAGTAATGGAAAAGGTGGGCAGGTTAAAAGATCCACCTGCATCGGCCAGGACATAGGCCCAGTTCTGTAGCTGAACTGGATGCTGCTTACTTCCCACCTCTAACCAATCCTTCAACTAGCCCCTCCCCATACAACTCCATGCCCCCTCTCATATCCACTAACTACAGGACTGAAGCTTTATAATAACATCGGGAATTCTTTGCGATGTTCATGCAACTGTCAAAGTAACGAATATCGTCCATAAATCACTTCTTTTAAAAATCCATTAACTAGCCATACATCTCAATAAACCCCATTGAGCTAAATGTTTTAGAGGCTTGGAACTCAACCATTCATAATGAAAGTCCACTGCAAAATTGTCTCATCAAAACCTCCAGAGCTCAATACATTAAAGGCTTTGAAACTGGGTAACAGACAGCTGACCTTTCATTAAATTGAAAGTTTAAATTAACAATTAGGGGACAATTAACACAGCCAAATCTAAATATTGTTCAACTCAGAAGACTTTATCCAGTGAAAATATATTCTAATGCATGAGAAAATTTTTGAACTTGCATGATGTTGGTCAATTTAATGGTCAATTAACAAAGCTTTAACATTAATCAAAATGTAATAATAATAGGTTACTAACAAGAACATTAATTGTTAAAGCCTAAAGTTATTGTTAGAGCCAATAGTTAATTTCCAGTTCAGAACATATATAGACAACATTAGAATGTAAATCACTGCCTAAGTTATTGCTATAATTTCCTAGAATGGGGTTGAGGGTGACCACCAAAGGAGACCAGTAACGCCAATGATATAGAGGATCAAAGAATGGACTAACAGTTACTCCCACACACAGGCCTAAATCTTCCAGTCACTATAGGATCAGAGACCAGATATATGACAAAAATGTGTTTCATGATACTGAGGAAGTACTGAAGTCCAGATCTCTAACTGGCCTCTAAGCTGGGGTCACAGACTTGGGACAGTTCAGCATGACTTACTTGGATAGTTAACCAGGAAACGTTAAACAGGTGAAAACCTGGATTTACCCGAATAACCACCCCTCCAATCATCCTTCCAATTGCCACTGAACCCCACCACCCATTTCGACCTGGCTCCTCACTTACTAACCGACACTCATACTGAGCCTTTAAACTTACCTTAATCTATCAGTTACTGTCGTTAAAAAAGGGATGAGTGTCCTCTCTTCCCCCAACTCTGTTCTGCTCTAATGGAGTTCCCTAGCAATTGTTGTGTTGTATGTTCCTTCGATAGCCAGGTTTGGGAAGATCCCAAAAGAAATACGCAGCAGTGTCATATTGAAAGAATCTTTGTGCACGGTTTTGCGGGCGCTTGGAAGGCATAATCGTGCAAAAAAAAAACGTGGATTAGGAGATCATACCAATGAAACTCCAGCTTGGAGAGACGCCACTTCCCCAAGAATTGTGACTCAAGATGTAAAAAATATTTTCCCAGTTTCCGTTTTTGCCAATATCTTTGATCTATTTGAAAATGCTTTAATCTCATAAAAGACAGTGTGGTTTCTATTGTGGTACTTACTGTCTCTGTAGAGCCTGCTTAACAGGAAACTTCTTGTCACAATTCCTACACTTGAATTCCTTTTCTTCAGTGGGCTTCTGGTGGAGAGACTGCAGGTGTTCAGCCAAGATTTCCTGGCTTCGAAAACTGCTCTCACACTGTGGGCAAGCATAGCCTTCTTTATCATTCAATACATCTACAAAGATATAAAGCAATTAGTTCAGTTCTGTGTAAATTTCTGTATTTCTGGTGTATTTCAGTATTGTACATCAACATCCACTTTGATATTAGGATTCATGTTGCATGCTTGAAAGAATTAATTTGGGACAAAATATGACGAGACTTTGACAAACAATACAATCAGCTATTGTTATTGCCTACTTAAAAAAAAAAGTATACACACCATCACTGTCCATTCTAATTAAATTTTGGATAAAATCAGGCTGTTTGAGAGAGTTAAGCTTGTTCATGCTTTGGTCTGAAAATTCCCTCCCACACATTCTTACTGTTAGCTACAAACTCACTGTATTAAATGAGATATTTCTCAGTGCCTACAATTCTCATTGTCAACTGGAAGTTCTAACTTGCCAACTCAGTCATTCCTTTCCCCTTTACATTTCAGGGATTTAAAACTAGTGTTGTTATTACTGAATAACTAATTTGTCTTATCTTTCCCAAACGTGTAAGTCACACATTATGGATTTAAAGCCATCAATTTTACTTTCTCATAGAAAGCAACAATATACTAGTGGCATATGTGATGATATTTACAGCTCACTCATCTTTTCCAGCAAGGCTAACTTTCAGTTTCCAAAATAGATATCAATGATTAGAATAGTTGGAGAAGCAATGGCATAGTGGCAATGTCACTAATCTAGCAATCCAGAACTCCAGGCTAATGTTCTGAGGACATAGGTTCAGATCCCACCGTGTCAGATGGTGAAATTTGAAATCAATAAACGTCTAGAATAAAAATTAAAGCCAGTCTAGTGATAACCACAGCTGATTGTCCAGTTTACTAATGTCCTTCAGAGAAGGAAGACTGACATCCTTACCTGTTAAAGTCTAAATGTGATCCAGGCACACAGCAATGTAACTGATTCCTAACTACCCTTAAGCAATTAGGTATGAGCAATAAACGCTCATCTTGCCCACATCCCATGAGCATACAAAAAAGGCATCATCTCCAGAATTACTTGGAAATGGGGCTGAAAATATCAAAAGTTAAAAGACAAAAGGGACAAGTAAGTAAAACTTGTCTTTACATAAAGTGCCTTCCCACCTTCCATGATATTACCAAGTGTTTAGAGAGTGTCTTTTGAGGCTTTAATAAATAGCTACCTCTCTTTGATCCTCTTTAGACAGATGTTAGGCACCCAAGTAACAGAGGGGCCAGAAATTGGAAGACTAAACAGTTTAGGCCTCATATTTGATGTTTTCAGAATTTCCACCAGCTACACTGTCTATGGAATCAAAGTATGTTTGCCAGCATAAGCTCAGATTCATAAATTTACCTCACAGTGTCATATATAAGTGGATATAGGGTTTACCACAAATCCGGAACTCTTTATTCTCAAACAAATCCTTGGTAAACTTGCAAAAATCCCCCAAAGCTAAAGAACTGTGAGACGTTACTCTCAAAACACAGTGGTGGAAGTATCACATTTGTAAAGGACTCATTCCAACAAAGTGTGCTGCTGGAATGTCTGTGGATGACTGTGCCAGAAATGGTCCAAACAGATATTCGTAAGAAAGCATGTGGGTACCGTAACTTGTAGATCAGCAGATTGTAACAAACTAAAAGTTAATACTCTCCTCTCCATATTTTATACAAAATTGTTTCACGCAGCAAAATCATTATATTACCAACTTTCAAGCAATAATTACGCTGAATTAAAGTTAGGCAGTAAAACCAAAACTGATCTAACTCAGGAGGTTATTGTGATATATCTGGCACAACATCGTGTCAGACTGGGACATGGATGGTATTGGAAGTGGATGTTTGTAGTGTAGCTTATGAACATTACCTTTGTCACCTGATGGCTGAAAATCTTTGGAACTTTCTTCATCTTTGCTGACTACTTCCTCCTCCTCCTTTTCTTCTATTTCCTCCATCTCACTATCTAGGAAACCAATCAATAACTCATTGTCTGTTTCAATGTCATCCACAGCCAAATAGAAGATATTTTCTCCTTCCTGAAAGCAATGGGAAAATGGGGTGTTACTTTGATTTGATCCTACTCAGATCTACAGCACTTCACAACTTTTGGCCTACATCAATAACAAAAACAGGTGAAGTGTGGACAATGAGAAGTCAGCACTGGTTGGACTCATATTGACATGAGGGTGGTGGGGGAGAAGAGGGTTACTTCATAATATTATCTGGTGACTAATTCTGACTTAGGTTTCTGATCAAAACCAGGCCTCTGTTTTTGCAAATAATACTTTGGTACCATAACGTACATAACACAATAGCTTGATTGACAGCTAACAGAAATTAAATATTCTAGAATGGAACAGTTTGTACTGGAGCATCAGCAGCAGTCATTCAAGTTAAGGCTTTTACACAGATAATGATTGTCATGATGATGCAGTGAGCTGCTATGTGTTGGCTGTCAAGGTCCATGACATGGGGGTGTTCCCTGTCTGTACATCTGTCTGCCTGCATCAATGTAAGGTGGAGTTCATACGGGGATTAGACTTTTAATCAGTAGTGTTATATGCAGTTGGCTTGTAACAGTTTTACTTTAGCTAGACTCTAATTATCTGGAATACATAATTGTTGTTCTTTAATACAGAAACCTGGATCTATGCTTTCTATTGACCTGGGTGCAGCAAGCAGACAAATTGGGAAAATTTGGGTACTTATTGTAAATTATTTGACATTTATAACAAATCTGTGAATAGTGGGGTTTTATTTCTAGTGCCCCCGGGAGTCATGGCATTTCTCATTTCAAATGATAAAAATCGATTTTATGAAGCACATCAACTTTTTCCCTATATAGTTCACTTTCCACACCTAATTACCAAACCTTTTTGTTTTAACAACTGACATGTTACCCAATAGTTTAACAACATTTCGAATTCTTTTGAGATTCTGTTTGAATCACAAAAAGCTAAGACTTAAGTTCAGCAGCTAACAGAGAAGGCTGATGGAATGTTGGCCTTTATTTCAAAAGGGAATGAAGTATAAAAATAGGGAGGGTTTGCTAAAACTATGCAAAGTACTATAGTCAGATCAAAGCTGGAATACTGTGGACAGTTTTGGTCTACTTATCTACAGAAAGTTGGACTGGCATGGGAGGCAGTCCAAAGAATCTTCACTAGGTTAATTCCAGGTACAGTGGAATTTTATTATGAGGAGAGGTTGAGTAAGTTGGGGCTGTACACATTGAAGTATAAAAGAATGAAATGATTTTATACTGAACACAAAGGACATGAAATTAATAAATCAGCTTCCGACTTGCAAAAAAATCTCATGATGCTTCCGTTAAAATTGGATGGAAATGACAGATCAACTCTACTACTCTGTAGTAGTCATCAAAGATTCTGTCTTTCATCCATATAAACTAACCGCACTGGATGCAGTGAAACTCATTAAATTGTCCACATTAAAATATTTATTTAGTAAGGTCAGTTAAGGTTTAGTTGAAATGGTTCTAGAACACTCTTAATAGAACACAGTGCCTTTCAGGTATGCAGAAGATAAGAATATGGCTGCTGAGACTTTATCAGTCGTGAAAATTAATTGTACTTTCAATTTTCAAAGTTTCCAGTTACAAGAACAGAAATAATGAATGAGGTGTTAATTATACCATAAATAATGGCAGCAATAATGTGAAATAAAAACATTTTTTTTGCTGTTCTGGAAAATCACATTCTGTAAAAACTCAGCAGGTCTGGCAGCATCTGTGGAGTGAGAAAGAGAATCAATGCACATTAACTTTGTTTTTCTCTTTCTACAGATGCTGACGGGCCTGCTGAGGTTCTCCACTACCTTCTGTTTTTATTTCAGATCTCCAGCATCCAAGTGCTTTGCTTTTACTTGAAATGTACATCACCACAACATAGAAAGGACTAAGATTTGTGTTTCCAGCTCTAACCTTTTATTTTTCAATCGTGAAAATTAGCCACAATAAGCAAACATTTTAATTTCAATAACAAACAATGTTATTTTCTTTACTGTGCTGAGCTGAAAATAACATGAGTTTGCACCTGAGATTTTCAACTGCATGAGCTTGAGATCCCTTCTGTAGAGAAGACTAAATGTTGAATAGATAATATCAATGCAAAAAGTAAAACAAAACTTAGATAGAACATAGAACTGTACAGTACAAGAACGGGCCCTTCGGCCCACTCACTTTTAGTTCTAGTTATCTACATTATTTACAGCAGTGAATGCACAAATGTAATTCAGAGATTTAAACGATTGTGCATTTGAAATTGGCAGATAGTGGAAATCTGGCATAAAAGTCAATAAATGGTCGCAACAGAAAACTGTATCCTGCTTTGCCATGAAAAGGCAGAACTGCAGTTGCAAGAGGGTCCACATTTCCAAGACATACAACATCCATTCTTCTTGAGACTACTGCATCAATGATGTACATGCGACCCCGCTATAATGGTTCAAAGCAAGAAAGACTGCATTATAGGCAAACTTTTTCAAAAGCAAGTCAGTAGCCAGAATATTGAAACAAACCAAATGTGGATAATCAACACAAATGAATTAAAGTTATATTTCTTCTGGATACAGAAATGTGAAAACATCCTTCCTGTGTTTACCCTGTCAAGTTTTGTTACAATTTTAGCGGTTTCTAAGAGATCCCCCCTCACCCTCACTCTTCTAACCTCCAGTGAATAAAGTCCAAATTGACCGAGTGTTCTTTCTTCAGTCTTCATGGTACAACTTTTGAGATACACATATCTGGTGATTTACTATGTGTTCAGGACTATGAGGGCCCAGTTGCATCCAAATACAATAAGGCTCATATCCAGATTACATGGCCCGGGAGACTTGCTAGCACTGTGGCAGATACTGGAGGAGGGAATGCTCAGAAAGAAGATAGAGTCAAAGAGTCATAGAGTAATACAGCATGGAAACAGGCCCTTCGGCTCAAACTGGTCCATGCTAACCAGGGTACTCACTCAGCTAGATTCAATTACCTGCATTTGGCCCATATCCCTCTAAACCCTTCCGATCCATGTACCTATCCAAATGTTTCTTAAATGTCGTTATTTTACCTACATCAACCACTTTTTCTGGCAGCCCATTCCATACACGCACAACTCTCTGTGTGAAAAAGTTGCCCCTCAGGTCATTCTTAAATCTATCACATCTCAGCTTACACCTATGCCCTCTAGTTTTCAATTCCCCATCCCTGGGAAAGAGACTATATGCATTCATCCTATCTATGTCCCTCATGATTTTATGTACCTCAATAAGGTCACCCCTCATTCTCCTACATTTCAAGGAACAAAGTCTTATCCTGGCCAAGCTCTCCCTATAACTCAGGCCTACTAGTCCTGGGAACACCCTCATAAATCTTCTTTGCACACTTTCCAGTTTAACTATGTCTTTCCTATATGACCAAAACCGTACACAATACTCCAAATGCGGCCTTATACAACTGTAACAAAACATCCCACCGTCTATACTCAATGCCTCGACCAATGAAGGCCAGCATGCTAAATGCCCTCTTCACCATCCTATCAACTTGTGATACCACTTTCAATGAACTACATACTTGTACTCCTAGGTCCCTCTGTTCCACAACACTCCTTAGGATCTTACCATTTACGTTATAAGTTCCACCTTGGTTTGACTTTCCAAAATGCAACACCTCACACTTATCCGTACTGAATTGCATTTGCCAAACCTCAGTCCGCTTCCCCATCTGATCAAGATCCCTCTGTAATTTTTGATAACTTTCCTTGCTATCAACGATATATCCTAATTTTGTACCTTCACATCCAGATCATTTAAGTAAATAACAAATAACAAAGGTCCCCAGCACTGACCTCCATGGGACACCTCTGGTCACAGGCCTCCAGTCCAAGGAACAACCCTCAATGATTACCCTTAGTTTCCTATCATTGAGCCAATTTTGAATCCAATTAGCTAGCTCTCCCTGGATCCCATGCAACCTAACCTTCATTCCTAGCCTGCCATGTAGTGCCTTGTCAAAGGCCTTACTAAAGTCCATATAGACAACATCCACTGACCTACCCTTATCTACCTTTTTGGTTGCCTCTTCAAAAAACTCTAAAAGATTTGTCAGGCATGACTTGCCACGCACAAATCCATGCTGACTATCCCTAATCAGACTTTGACTATCCAAATGTTGGTTACTCCTGCCCCTCAGTATCCTCTCCAATAACTTGCCTACCACTGATGTCAGGCTCACTGGCCTGAAGTTCCCTGGCTTGTTTTTGCTACCTTTCTTAAACAATGGAACAACATTAGCCACCTTCCGGTCTTCCGGAATTCCACCAGTGGCTAAAGATGAAGCAAAAATCTCTGCAAGGGCCTCTGCAATTTCTTCCCTAGCCTCCCACAACATCCGAGGATGGACTTGATCAGGCTCAGGGGATTTACCCAAAATAATGTGATCTAAGGCTGCAAACACCTCATCACTGGTAATGTGTATGCAGTCCAAAACATCCCCACTTGTTTCCCTTATTTCCTTAGCATCCATAATTCTCTCCTCAGTAAACACTGATAGCCATGCTGATCTTTAACGGACTTACTCTCTCCCCAGCCATCCTTTTACTCTTAATATAGTTATAAAGCCTCTTGGGATTATCCTTAACTGTATCTGCTAGATCAATCAATCAAGATCCGCTGAAATCCAGAGAATGGCCAGTACAATTTACTCCTGTTATGCTACAGGAAAGAGTCTCAGCATTTCAGCTAATCTAGATGTAATGAGAGAGCAGAAATCACAATGTTCCTTCAAAGTGCCAGTCCACTGTGCCCACCAGTCTCTCCATGGCAGTCTTGAATCTACCTGGAAACAAAGCTGCAAGGTGCGTGCAAACACAGATGTTTATTGGGAGAGCCTGGTGCAGTCTCTCCAAACACGACCCCATTCTCCAGCAATAAGCTGTAGCGTCAAGATATTACAACAGATGACTCCACAAGTTGAAAATCTGCCCATGCTCTCAGCAATAACATTCAAAATATTTTGCACACCTTC